ACTAAAAATATATTTTTTACTTAGAAAAGATATAGCTAAAATTAATATTTAAACTTTTATTAAGAATTTTAAAAAATGCAGGCAAATTTGCCTGTGTTACAGACAAAGGGATAATATCAAATTCTATTCCCTTCTTTGAACCTGAAAAAACAGTATCTTTCCATTCAATAATTTCTTCAAAGAACTCATAATCTCTATCTTTTGGTAATTTTCTATCAACCAACATGAATATAGTTTTTCTTGCTTCATAATAAAGTAATAAATCTTCTATAAATTTTATGCGTTCACCAATATTAGGAAATGCTTCAGCAAAAGCATCATTATTAATAGCATTATTTAATTCCCAATTTTTCAATTCAATAATATCTTCATAATCTTTTTCATAAATTTTTCTTTTTTGTATCTTCTTTTTTTTTGTTGTTTTTGAAGCCCCTTCTTCAACTTCAGAGTTTACCAATTCTTTTGGTAACAAATTTTCTTCATCCTTTTCAACTTCAGAAATATTATTTTGTTTTTATAATTGAATAAAAATTAAATTGATAATTATATGAATAAAATTCTAATCTGTACATAAATACTAATTAGATTATTGTTGTTTATTTAATAAATATGAAAAGAAAAATATTAAGAAAATCAAAGAATATTTCAAAATAAATTTAACATTTGTTGATAATGATTTCTTAGAATAATAGAAAAATCTTTTCAATAACTTCTGAATAATCAATATTTGTTGTATCAATTATTGTAGAAACTTTCTTTGCTTGCTCAAGTTGTTTAAAAGAAAAATAATCACGATAAAGAACATTTGCGAAAATATTTTTAATATCTGTTAAATTAATTTGAAGTGAATGACGTTGAACTCTAATATCAATATCGGCAGATAAAACAATTTTAACCTCAGCGTCAGGTAAAATGTTAAAAGTCGTATCTCTTCCAACAACTATAAATTCTTTTTCTTTTGTAATTTGATATATGTATTGATTAATAATATGATGAGCTTCTTGATTTTTTGATATTTTTGCGCCTTCCTCCCCGCTCAAATAATAATCTTCATTACCAAGAGAATTGATTAATTCAGTTATTGAATCGAAAAATTTATCTTGTTTCATATTCTTTTTAAAGATTTCAATTGTCTTTGAATTATTTTCTGTGTTGTCCGAATATTGATAAGATAAATATCCCAAATATTGATAAAATATTCCAGAATCGATAAATCGATACTTTAAACTATTTGCTAAAGCAGATCCAACAGTTGTTTTTCCTACAGCTGTTAGTCTATCAATCACAATATTAATTTTTTTTATTGTTAAACTAAGAAAAATCTAATTGGTCAAAAGACTGATTAGAAACAAAAAGAAATAAAAATAAGCAAAAAAATACTTGAAAAATATAAAATATAAATAAATAAAAAAATAAATAATCAATAAATAAATAAAAAATACAAAAATATAAACAATTAAAAATAAAAAATAGATAATTAAAATAAAAAAATAGCCTAAAAGAAAAAAAATAAATTCATTCACATTCTTCTTTAATAGATGGTAAAACATATTTATTATTCAAATGTTTTGCTAAAATGAATAAATCTTTCACGTGTTTTAAAGAATTTATTTCTAAAAGTTCCTTGAATAATTCATATTCTTTTAACAAAAAAGAATATTTTTCTTTAAATAATTGTACTGCATTTAGATTATATTCTGAAAATACAAAAATATAATCTTCATGATATTGACGTACTGAAGAATGACATTTACGTAACTAAAATTCTAATTGGTATTAAATACTAATCAGAAATAATTTATTTATTATTAAAATTAAAAAAAAATGAATAAATATAATATAAAATATTTAACAAAAATCAAAAATATCTACTTTTTTTGTTTGTCATTCATTAATAAATATTGTTAAATGTTCATTATCTTCCATCATACCCATACAATAATGAGTAATATTATTAATATCAGATGAAAAATATTTATATTTTTAAACTATACATATAACCTATTTTTATCTTGTTGATCTGACAGATATGTATAACCACAAATATAAACACATTTATATTCTGTTAATATTTTTTTATATCCTGCACAACATTCATGAGAATGTGTATTATAACAATTCCAACAATAACCACCATTTAACCCATAAATGTATTTATGAGTCATATTAATTCTTCTGATTTCAAAAAAAATTCATATTTATTTATACATCGATTTTTTGACAGATAATCATTAATATATTTGAATCCTTTAAATTTTGGTGTATAAATCAAATCTTCTGAAGATTCAATACCAATTACATTTGGTGACATTTGTTGTTGGATTAAATTTGTTTAAAAATAAATACAATTAATAGAAACAAAAAAACTAATAAATGCTTGAAATAATTGACTAAAATGAAAATAAAATTGGGGATCCATTTTTTGGGTATAAAATTTTCTGTTTGGTATATTTATACTGAACAGAAATTTGGCGATTGTGGATGATATACAGGAGATAATTCTAAATTTTTATTGAGACTAACTAATCTTGATTCAATCTCCAGTTTGTCCTTATCTAATTTTAATTTTTTCTTTGTTTTTCGACGTTTAAATATTACTTGTTTGAAATTTCAAAGTAATTCGCATTCTTGTTTATAGATTGTTGAAGAAGTATCATTAAAATTCTTTACCCAAAGATAAATCTCATATTTCAACTTTAAAGTACGAAATTTTTTCTTGATTTTCATTAAAGATCCTTTTTATTCATATTCAACAACCGTTCATTTTTTGGAAGAGATTTATCAACAGATTGAAGAAGCTTAAAATATTCACAACGCTGTCGAAAAGAACATGAAGCTCATTGATGGCATATATTATAATGCCAAAGATGAGAATAAAATTTTTGTTGATATGCTTCTTTTTAAAAATTAGTTTTATCTGTTCCACATTTACAAACAAAAAAATCGTTAAAAGGTATATGTTCAGAATGTTGCAACATATCAAATTTTTCTTTTGCATCATGTTGGTTATATTTAACAATATAAGATCGTGAAAAATCAATATTTCTTCATGAAATGCTATTACGAGTTACAAATGATTTGTAAAATATCTTCCAACATAATGGAGAATATTTCGAGAAATTAGTTCATATATCTCTAATAATTAAAATTAAAAAATAATTAAAATAATTATTTTTGAATACAGTTCGAAGAACTTTTGTATTCATTATCAAATCCTAAGACTCGATGCTGTTTTATGAACTGAAAAGCAGTCTTTTTATAGATGAAAATCAAATAACACCACGAAAAAACTAAGTTGTTTTTTATGAGATGAATTATTTTCACTTGTCAAATTCGAATTAAGATGAAAAAATTAAATTATACCAAATTTGTAATTTACGAATTTGGATGTGAATTACAAATTTGCCAGATTCGTATTTTACAAATCAAGCAATTCATTGTCACAATAAGACTTCGATCTATACCAAATTCATAATTTACGAATTTGGGTGTGAATTACAAATTTGCCAGATTCGTATTTTACGAATTAGGCAGTTCATTGTCAAATGAGATTCTGGTCTAATCCAAATTCGTATTTTATGAATTTGGAACTAAATTACAAAATCAAATTTACAAGAAAAATAAATTTGTATTTTACGAATTTGGAAATGATTTACAATTAAATAATTTATACTTTAAAGAACAAATCAAATCTTTAGTAGACAAAAAACAAAAAGTTAAACATCTCCCAGTTCCAATAGAACTTCTTGATATGATAATTGAATTTTACACAATATTTATTTTTAATAAAATAATTAATTTACACAGATGTAATATAACATCCAAAAATCACTCAAAATAAAAATATAACAAAACACGCCTTGTACAAAAATATTTTAAAATATGATTTGAAAAAAATTTTTTTATTTATTTAAAAAACATTTTGAATTAAAACAACTTTGTAAAAATATCGGTGATATTTCCTTTCATTATCTCAAACAACTTATTAAAAAAGAAACTTTATTTTACACAATGAATGGAGAATTTATTAAATTTATAGGAGAAAAAAAATACAAATGAAATGAATTTTTGGGAAATTTTAATTACAAATATTATAATACGTGATAAATTTCATATCACTATACTTGGTACAGATTTTTTTATTTCTTCTGGTTGCTTAATTTTTCAAAACTTTGGTTATATAAATAAGTATAGTAAAAAATGTAATTGTCTATTTAATATGGGAAGATTAAATTTAAAAAAATCTGGGAAACAAAAAGAAAAACCAAATATTTATTATTATTATTCCTGTAATTCTTGTAAATTTTATGAAGTTGTTTATAATTATCCAAATCCAAATTATATTAAATAAAATTTATTTATTTAAAATTTAATTTATATCCATAAAATTTATTTATTTTTTTTTTTCTTTAAATCCAAAAGGTGGTCCACGCTTTTTTTCTTCCTTTCATTCACAAATTTTATTATGTTTAGAACAATTATCACATATAATTTTTGTATCATATTTAATTTTTTTAAGCCTGCAATAATTACAAGCAATCGTATTTTTTTTCATATAACTTTTGTTATTTTACTTATTCTTTTTTTTTTAATTATAAAAATATATGATTACACACAATATTTATTAATAAAATTCCTTAACGGAAAAACTCAATAATAAATCCTAACGGATAAACTTAAATTCTAAGAATTTAAGAATTATTTACGATTTAATGAATTACCAAATTTATAAAATATGAATTAAACAATTTAAATTAATTCAATGAACTGCCTGATTCGTAAAATACAAATTTGGTATAAATAAAAATCTTGTGATCATTAAATTAATTATAAATAATTAAACAAAAATTTATTTATTTTAAAAACAAATAAAAAAAAAAAAAAATGAGAAACACACATGAAATTCGCAACTATTTTCATAAAAATACTCTTAAAACAAGACTTATCTGTAATATTTGCAAAGCAAATTATCCTTTTGATACGAATTTATCAAATCTTAAAAGACATTTTGCTAAATATCACAAAAAAGAATATAAT